AATAAATATTAACAAAGACAAACAATATTTAATCTATTCTCAATTTGACAACAGACGTCAAGAACAAAAGTTTGACAATAAATAGTATGCATGCGTGTGTGCGTCAAATACATGGTATGTAGTGTGTGTAATGTTTTCTTTATTGATTTAATGTATCCTTTATGCATTATTTAAAAAAAAATAGCATTGTGCACTTCTTCTCTATATTCTCTATAAGTGTGGAAAATTTCATACTCCTCCGTCCGCGCAATTTTCGTAAAAAGGGATACAAAGTTTTTGCTCCACGTATTAATATATAGATACTACTCAGTATTATTTGAATTGGTAAATAGCACGTTTTGAAACTTGGTCGTTGTGAATGAAAAGGATAAGACGTAAGGTATCCAGGGCTATAAGTACTCGTAACGAGCGATGCGAATGTGCCGGCCTTCAAATCCTGTCAGCTGGTACCAATTCTTGTAATGAAATGCGTACTTAATACACATTCACGAATTATTTCCACGGTGAAGGAATTTTTTTTTTTTATTGCCTAGATGTGTGGGCGAGCTCACAGCCCACCTGGTGTTAAGTGGTTACCGAAGCCCATAGACATCTACAACGTAAATGCGCCACCCACCTTGAGACACAAGTTCTAAGGTCTCAGGTATAGTTACAACGGCTGCTCCACCCTTCAAACCGAAACGCATTACTGCTTCACGGCAGAAATAGGCGGGGCGGTGGTACCTACCCGTGCGGACTCACAAGAGGTCCTACCACCAGTAAAACATCGGGTAGTAAAAATCAAATTCGAAAAACATTTTAATATGCGCAATTACTAAAGCAATTGAGATGTAGAACTGAAGTTTTATGATGTCTGTAACCACTTAACGTTATCGGACCCTGATTTCATTCATGCGTCTTCGCTATAAAAATATACAAAGAGTTTAGTATATATAATACGACCGAAGAACTTTAATGAATATTAGAAATACGGCCTAGAAATTACGGTGTAAAAACATTTTTATTCTCCACACAAATACTTTAATTAATTAAGTCGTTGATTGTACAAAAAACTAAAAATTAGATTTTTCTACTCACAGTCGTCTACTATGACATCCTCAGAAGACTAACGGATAAAGTGTTAATTGTAAACAAATTATCCGAAATGGCCACGTATAGTATTCGTGAGATGTATATTTAAAAGCAAGGACATAAAATTTTGATCCTTTGTGCCCACTATTGACACCATATGAGTCACAAATTTAATATAGTTGCACAGGGAAACTATAGCTTCAATAAAAGCGATCGCATCGTCTGGACGTTGCTTAGGGCAATCCTAAACATAAAATTTTGTATGATTGTTTTTAAATATTGGAACACACTAATAAATATGGCAACACAGTTACTTGCAATTGCACTAAAAACCATTGTTTTTGTACATCAATAAATAAAAACCATTCTCTCTGAATCTAGTTTTTATAGAAGCTAGCACACAAAAATACAGTCCACGCTCTAAACAGAACTCCTCCACAAGTCATGTAACAAAACAATAATTAAATTATCCAATCTATATACATATATCTAAATACCTAGTCAGGTCATAAATTCTGTCACATGTTTAATGTAAAATAATTGAAACAAGTTTATTCATTATGTAACCATTCATATACCAAAATGAACTTAAAAAAACATAGATCTTATGACACTAAAGTTTATTCAAAATGACCTCCGTGATTTTGAATACAGCCCTTCAATCTGCGCGGCCAGTCGTCTATCGCAGCACGAACGAGGCCATGTCAATATCGGCGGCTGCCTTAATCAAGGATGTCTTGAGTGACTCCAAATTTGGATGAGGCTTTGAGCACGCCTTTTCCTTCAATTGTTGCCATATCTTGTAATCTAACGGATTCAAATCTGGACTGGAGGAGGGCCAGTCTTCGTGCCGGATGAAGTCGATTTCACGCGCCGCCAGCCAGTCTTGTGTGCTCTTCGCTCTATGAGCTGGCGCCGAATCTTGTTGGGATACCCAGTGCCTGTTATTGAACATGGTATGAGAAACAGGTTCCACCAGGTTCGTCAGAACTGTATTTTGATACACAACTGCATTCGTTTTTACACCTTTCTCACAAAAATGTACCTCTGTTAAGCCCCAATAAGAAACTCCCAACCATACCATGAGCGAGGATGGAAAATGACCTCGTTGGACACGCGGAATACGGTTGCTCGCTTCTTCACTACTGTGTGCGTACACTTTATCATTTTGTTTGTTGTAGCTCTCTTCTACGGTAAAAATTTTTTCATTCGAAAAAAGAATTTCCCGATATTTTTTTCCCGCGTACCGCTTCAACAAAGCGCGGCATCTCTTCAGTCTCAGGTCCATTAGACGAGCATTCAAACGATGTCCTGTTTTTCTTCGATATGCCCAAAGCCCTAAGTCTTCATTTAACACCCTTTTCACCGTGGTTCTGCTTAACCCCATCTGAAGGGCCAACAGTTTCTGCTTACGTTTGGGATTTCTTTGAATTCGCGCCTTCACAGCTTTTATCACTGCTGGAGTCCTAACAGACCGAGGGCGACCACTTCTTGACCTGTCATCTACACTAGAGTCTTCATTGTATCGTTTGATGGTACGATAAACGAATCTTTTGGTTATATTCAAATTTTTCAGTATGTTAAAAATTTGAATTGGCGCGTAACCGCAACGATGCAACGCAATAACTGCAACACGGTCTTCTTTAAGCGTCCACTCCATATTCAAAAATGAGTAAAATTCTAAAAGTAAGTATACATTTTTATTTTCATGAACAATTCGAACTTCGAATTCAATAAACTTTTTTGTGGCCAGCATTCTAAAAGAAAAGTTTTTACTGTGTGACAATACTTATGACCTGACTAGTTATATAAAAATGAATTGCTGTTCGTTAGTCTCGGTAAAACTCGAGAACGGCTGGATCGATTTGGCTAATTTTGGTCTTGAATTATTTGTGGAAGTCCAGAGAAGGTTTAAAAGGTAGATAAATGTGAAAATGCTCGGAATTAAAAATAAAAATAACAATTTTGTTTTCCCTTCGATGTGTCCCCCGTCGGACGGATTCCTTTTGTTTCTTTTAGTTTATTTTATACAAAAGTTTAGGTCTTTTATTTATCAATTGAGGCATTACGAGGTCTGCCGGGTCAGCTAGTATACATATAAAAATATACATAATAATCAATTTAGTAAATCCAAAGTAATAAACGGATTTTAAATGTTGCGTCACGAACAAAAACGCAGTCTAGACCAGGAAGCGTTTGATTATCAACCAGTATTTGACGTTGCGAGTTAAAAAGTGATGAGGGAAATGCTTTTCCTTGTGCGTTCAGACTGGACCACATTCCGATCTACCTGTCCACGTCTGCGTAACATTAAGACCTAGAGTACATGACGTAAGGTAGCTAGCTATAAATGTTTTTTGCTTTTTTATAAACTCAACGTGAATATGAATAAATGATAGTTTAAAAAAACTAATATAACAAAATACGCTTTTATAGAAAATTCAACTAAAAAATAGAAAATAAAATAAAAAGCGTGGGGTGCATGGTATCAGTAGCTATAAATATTTTATGAACAGATATGAGTTAGAAGGGTTTTTTTGATAATATCCCGAAATCCCCACGCTTTTTTACAATAAAATAATTTTTTCATACACTATTTTTAATTGAAATTTATTAAAATTTCTTTTATATTTTTTAGTTGGTTTTTCTATAAAAGCGTATTTTTTAAACTATTATTTATTTTTCATTTTTTAGTTGAATTTTTTCTTTTTTCTTTTTTTTAAATATCGAATTGTCATCGGTCCTTAATAAGTATGTCAAATTTCGAGTTAAACCGATCAAAGATTCCGTGACATACTAACATACATACGTCTGAAGCTAATAAAAGCGTATTAAAAAGCAAGAGATAGACTGTTTTTTTTTTAAATTTCACTTCATAGTTGTATTAGTTGTATCCATTCGCCGATCGCTAAGTGTTTATTAGAGCTTATGGACATCAGTGACAATTTGAAGAAGCTGCTGGTAATAGGCAAGGTCTGCGGAAGAAGGCCCAGAGGCAGAAGTCCAATGGCTGGTCGGACCCGATAGGCTCCACTCTCAACACTTCAGTCCACGTCCACACAGCCGAGGATGGGCAGAAACGGCGCAGGGTAATACAGGAGAAATTTGTTAGAGGAGGCCACGACCCTCAGCATTGAGGATTATCGACACAAGGAGGAGATGGAAATCACAGCGACAAGCTGCCTTCCAATTTGAGATATTAGTCTAAATTATAATTTTCTCGCTTAAAATCGACATACATGACTTGTTCGCGGCAGAAATAGACCGGAGTGGTTTTGCTATTAGTCCAGAGACTTTGCCGGTTATCTAGGACACCTAGACGAACTCTAGAACTTAACCAGGAGGAGAAGGCTTGCTATAAAGTACCCGCGAGCTCTCGCACTACAGGTCAGCACCGGTATAGCCGCATCGCTCAATAAGAGTGCACTGGACAACTTAATCATACTGAGACCTTAGAACTCATATCTCAAGGTGGGTGGCGGCATATACGTTGTACATGTCTATGGGCTCCGGTAACCACTTAACGCCAACACAATAAAAAAAATTAAAAAAAAAAACGGCCACAATGACTTCAAAATACTGTTGGCTCTTTCTAAGAAGCGTAAATGTCAATAAATATTTTTAAATGGATTAGAGCTTGAAACGCGGGACTTTTAGCAGTGATATGTCTAAGATAATATTATAACGAAATACAAACGAAATAAATTAACATAAAAATAAATTTTCAATCTGACACACTCTGTCAAGTACTCCTACAATTTATAAAGAGATAAGGTTTTTCTTGCGTGGTAACTAATTATATTGTCATAAGTTTTCGCGGGTGGTAAAACTACTCTTTTTGTGAATACAATTATTTGACAGTGGCTTGATTGTGCTAAGGTATGTTAGGAGATTGTGATCAATTACCATCGAATAGGTAATTTGCTCGTCTACCTATGACGATAATTAAAAAAGAATATTGTGCTAATTCTATCTATCTCTTAGGTCTATGGCGTTTTCTTTTAGATTTCGCCAATGTCAAGTGTTAAGTGTATTTATTACTCTATTTGTAACTAAGAATTAAGTGAGTAGCTAAGAATGTTTGATGACAGAATCGCTGTTGATGTAACAAATAAGACGCACACAATATATATACAGGGGTTAGTTCGTTAAAAGACAGACAAACTACAGCTTCTTCTTCTCAGTCGTTCACTCCTGGCGGAGTGGTCGTGGTTACGTAAGTCTTAATATTTGGTTGCGGCTTTTGAGAGTGCCGTTCGAGTTCTGTGCAAATAGTGTTGAGCTCCATATTGCGATCTCTCCGACAAGCAGTTTGTATTTCAGAACTTAGCAGATTTAGTTTTTCCATGCTAGCTCCAGATGCTTTTTCCTTGCGCCGCTTTTCTATGAGTTTCCAAGTGCTCCACGACATCCAATGCTGGCGTTTTGCAACCCCTAGCCTGGGCTGGGAGATCTTAACTGCGTCCTTAATTATTGTTTTGGCTGATTGCCAAAGTGACTCCGACTCACCATCGTGGATGGCATTCGTCGAGGTACCTTTTACATTTTGCAGAGTTTCATAAAAGGCCTCTCTGTCTACAATTTCAATACGTCTTGATATTTTTTTGGTAGTGCAGTTGCGCAGTTTAAGTTTCAGGCCACATATCAACAGTTCATGATCAGAGAGACAATCTGCTCCGGGCAATGTGTGCGCGTTACATATCGAGCTTCTCCATCTAGTTCTGATCATAACGTAATCGATCTGGTTACGGTGTTTGCCGTCAGGGCTGGTCCACGTATATAGGCGCCTTGGATGTTGTTTAAAAACGGTGTTCATTATAGTGAGGTTGTTATCGGCGGCGAATTGAATTAAGCGTTCGCCCCTGTCATTACGTGTACCCAGACCATATAGCCCTACTATGTGGCGCAGGCCAGATTCATTTTTTGTGCTACCTACCTTCGCATTGAAATCTCCCAAGACAATCAGAGGCTCTCTCTTTGGGACTTGATCCATGCAAGTTTCTAGTTCATTATAGAAAGTTTCCATGATATCATCATCAGCTGTCGATGTGGGTGCATAAACTTGGACTATATTTATTGGAACTGGTGAAGCATCAATTTTTATAGACATAATTCTCTCATTAACAGGGTTGTAGCCCAGGACAGAATTATTCCACAGTTTTGGTATAGCAATAGCCACACCGCCAAAGCTGTTGTTTTCTTTTCCGGAGTAATATATGGTATGTTTCCCTGTGTCAAAGTGGCCGCTATCCTTCCAGTGAGTTTCACTAATGCCAGTAATAGTGGAGTTACATCTCTCTAGCTCGCTTTCCAAGATCTTCAGTTTGCCATCCTTGAGGAGACCACGAACATTCCATGTACCGACGCGAATCTTGTTGCGTAGCTGTATGGTTCTCCTTCCAGTAGCATATTTTCCAGGAGATGCCTGGTTGCCTACATCGTCCTGGCCGGTAGCACATTTCACACCCTGATCCCCGGAAAGATCATGGCGCCGGATGCCACGCGGATCGCTCGCCTTCTTAAAATTTTTTTTAGACATTTCCATAACTTTCATGGGAAAATAGTAGCAGTGGTTTCCCGTTGCCTTCTGCTCCAGCACTTTTAGAGATTATTTGGATCTCAAGGCTGCTGTAGCCTCTACTCTAGGTAGGTATGTAGTTATACCGCTACTTGCTCCTACACTACAGCTTAACTTGTGCTAATTCAAATGTCGAAGCTATAATGACACTTTACCCGTCTGTGACAACAAAAACTGTATAAGTAGTATTTGAAACGTTGGAAATAATAAACCCCAAATTTCATCGTGTAAGTATTTTTAATTACGAGTACCTATATTATTATTATTTACGATACGCAATAACCAAAGACAAATAATATTAATGTAGCTGTAGACAAATAATATGTGAACTGGTTTTGCTTATATTAAATAATATAAGCTAAAAAAGTTTATATTACATAATATAAGCTAATTCTTTTCAAATCTAATCATTTCTGTTTAAGTTTATAATTACAGAGGTCTTCGCAAATTTACGTCGTAATAATGTAAACGAGAAACAGATAGTTTTTCGATCCAGTGTAATCTCTGCTTCGAGCGCAGCCCGAGAAAATAGTTTGCACGTTACAATTTTTCACCGCGTCCAACATAATATCATTATGGTCATTACGTTAGCAACATCCTAGGCTTGTAACCAATACTCCTGACTTCTGACGCAACCGCGTCATTCCTGAATCGCGTATTACCTTCTTGAGAGAAATTTTTAGTTAAGAAATTATCGCGTGCGCATGCGAAACGTCCCGTGAGTTTGATTTTTAAAGTTCGCGAGACTTGAGAGCAGGAAAGGTTAACCTTAATATAAGCTGATTGATAGACGAACTACTTGGTGTTAAGTGGCTAAATGAAACCTCAACGAAACCATTTGATTGCTTCGCCGCTGAAATAGTCAACACATAGAATAGCTATTTTTATTTAGATCACGTACTAAAACCAATCACAATTGGTCTCCGACTTTACTTCTCTCACTTCTGGGGTCTGTGGCAGTATTGACGTCGGAAGCGGTCATTATCATAAGACTCTTATGACTTATGACAATAATTTTATTTGTATTATAACATATTAGTTCTTTTTCTCAGTCTGGTGGTAGAACCTCTTGTGAGTCCGCGCGGGTAGGTACCACCACCCTGCTTATTTCTGCCGTGAAGCAGTAATGCGTTTCGGTTTGAGGGGTGAGGCAGCCGTTGTAACTATAAGTAAGTATACTTGAGACCTTAGAACTTATATCTCAAGGTGGGTGGCGCATTTACATTGTAGAGGTCTATGAGCTCCAGTAACAACTTAACACCGGGTAATAATCTTAACACCGGTAAATAATCTAAGCAATAAAAAATTAATAAATAAAGTCGTACACTCTTTCCGGAGTGGTTGTGGTTTTGTATGTCTTATTGCTCGGTTGCGGATTTTGCGAGGCTTCTCTATCTCTCTCTATTTGTGGCGGTAAGTGTACATTCAGTAAGGGAGCACTTAGTAGATGACTTAATCAAGTCAGTCCACCTTGTGGGTGGTCAGCCGCGAGAGCGTTGACTGTTTACTCTTCCTTGAACCATTGATCGTTCCAATGAGCTTTCATTACAAATGATATGTTCAAATTTAAGGATTCGCAACTGCACAATCGACGCAAGCCTTTGTTTGATTTGGAGCTCTTTCAAGATGGATACATTGGTGCGGTGAGCAGTCCATTTTATCCTCAGCAAGCGTCTTCAGCACCACATCTCAAGGGTGTCAATCTTTTTACGACACTTTAGATGGATCGTCCATGTTTTTTCTCCATATAAGAAAATATTAGTACCTTAAGCATTATCAGCAATATATTTTTTATTGCTGATATGAGTGCACGAGCTTACGGCCTACTTTTGTTAAGTAGTCACTGGAGCCCATAGACTTCATTCAACCCTGTTAATGCCGCCGCCAATCTCGATACATGAGTTCTAATTCTCAGTTTTTACAGTATAACAACTGCCCCACCCTTCAAACGCATTACTCTTTTACGGCAGAAATAGGCAGGCTTATGGTACCCACCCGTACGGGCTCACAAAACTACCAGTAAGCAGTTTACCAGCAATCAGACATAATAATAACAAAAAAACATAACAGAAGTAATATTAATTTACTGGTGGTAGGACCTCTTGTGAGTCCGTACGGGTAGGTACCACCGCCCTGCCTATTTCTGCCGTGAAGCAGTAATGCGTTTCGGTTTGAAGGGTGGGGCAGCCGTTGTAACTATACGGAGACCCTTAGAACTTATATCTCATATATATCTCAAGGTGGGTGGCGCATTTACGTTGTAGATGTCTATGGGCTCCAGTAACCACTTAACACCGGGTGGGCTGTGAGCTCGTCCACCCATCTAACCAATAAAAAAAAAAGTAACATAAATCGTAGTTAACCGCAGTATACTTATTCAGAATCGTTTAAAGTTTTATAGGTTCATACAATCCTTAGATATTATATTTAAAAAGTACAACCCTAAGTCTTGCGTATACAATAATCATATCATTTAAAATGAGATATGTAAGAATGTCTGCTACGCTGTCTACGTATTATGTAACATCCGCCGAAGATACGATTACGTGTGGGTCTAGAACAACTTTAGTTTACCCAGGAATGCCTTCTCGGGTCGCTGGTGACGAATCACACGTGTTAGGTTTAGCACAGATATAATATATAGAGCTGTTAATAACTTTTCACAACGCGCACATACTATGACGTTTATTTTTATAAAATATGTTCTTCAATTTTTGCTATTATTTGACATAATTAAAATAAATTTAATAAGATAAAGATAAAATTTTATATGTTCTCATAAAAATAAATGATTTAATAGATGTTACTGAAATACAATAATGGTATGCGTATTCTAAGCCTTATACTTTGAAACGATATCTTTGATGAAGATTAATCGTATCATAGATGGATAAAAATCATGCATTTATGTCATTTTTAAGACGTTACTTGATGAAATTTCAAAACAGGAACTTTATCCATTTTATTATTATTTTTATTTTATTTTATTTATATTTTATATTTAGAATTATTTAGAATTACATTTATATTTAGAATTTTTAGCTGAAAGAATCTTTACCGATAAATCTAAGCGCTCTTAAATCTCATAGGCATGATTTCTATGATCATCTAGTTGTATTGATATCTGTGAAAACATAATCACAAACACACAATCTTATTTACTTACTACAATGCTTCTAATTTATTTAACGACTGTCTCGAATCGTCAATTTAGTTAAATTAATGGCCTCTGTATATTGATGTTTTGATTAGTTTGGTCATCTGTTTATAAACAATTATTATAAAGCAAATAATGAGTTTTATAACGGTGTGGTTGGATATTTTCACTTAGATATAGTCACTTATATATAGTCACAGCTCCTAAGCTACTTAATTACCTTAATTTTAACCAAATACTTAATTAATTACTTATTAATCCATAGTGCGCTTCCAGAGATCTTTTTGGCCACGTACGATCTGGCTTTGGAATGAGCTCCCCTCTACGGTGTTTCCCGAGTTCTATGACATATCCTTCAACAAAGGAAGCTTGTGGAGAGTACTTAATGGTAGACAGTAAGTTGGCTTTGCTCCTGGCATTGCTGACGTCCATGTACTGCGGAAACCACTGGCCATCAAGTGGGCCGTAAGCTCGTCGGCCTATAGGGGGATTTAAAAAAAAAGTTTTGAATATAAGTTTTGATCTTCCTTTGTTTCGTTGGCATGCAATACTACAATGTGCGTAGTGCGAGTTTTTTAACTTTTCGATCGCGTAAAAGTGAACTCAAATTTGTATGGAGTTCGACAGCGTTCCTACGTTTGCCACTAGGGGCACTGTTCCAACTCCATACAAATTTGAGTAAGCTTTTACGCAATCGAAAAGCTAAAAAAAACTCGCACTAAGCACGCAAGTGAGAAAATTAGACAAAGTTTCTTCCAAATTATTCCAGTAATTTGTCATTCATTAAAGTGTCTCGAATTCCAATATAATCTGTTTAGAACTTTTTTATTGCTTATAAGTGTAGACGGGGTCACGGTCCATCTGATATTAAGCGGTTATCGGAGCCCATAGACGTGCACAACGCAAACAGCGCCACCCATCGTGAGACATGAGATCTAAGGTCTCCGTTTTTACAGTACAACGGCTGCCCCACCCTTCAAGTCGAAACGCATTACTGCTGCACGGCAGAAATAGGCAGGACGATGGTACCGACCCGTGTGGACTCACAATACGTCCTACCACGAATAAGAATAGCATTTTATTAAAAACTCAAAAGATGACTGTACCTATACTTGCGACCTTAGAACTTATATCTCAAGGTGGGTTTTGCATTTACATTGTGGATGTCTATGGGCTCCAGTAACCACTTAGCAACAGGTGGGCTGTGAGTTACTCCACCCATCCAAGCAATAAAAAAAGGTGATGTTCAGTTCAAATTGTTTATTAACAACTCTATAGAGTTACGTAATTACAATCTTCCATCGGGTGTAAATAGAGCTGTGTTCCGGTTAGCCCCTAGGCTGTCATATACCTTTATAAATACCATACGAATCTGTTTCAAGCCACACTCACTTTCTTTACATCAGTACAGAATCGTGTGTATCGGGAAAAATGGTTCGCGTAAATTATGTGAGTAAACTCGCTTTTAAACATCATTAAGAAACATTAGGATAATGAAGAAATATACCATAATTTTAGGGGTACATTGATGACAGTAACATTTGAACTAATCATACAATTAATAGCAAATTTTCATTTGAATAAAATCAAATTACAATTTCGAATCAAATTAAATAAATGCAAAAACATAACAAATAATTTAAAAACAGTCTTAATCCGTTTTGTCTCTTTCTTACTTGCTTTATGGAAAATGGCATTCTATGCCACCTTCTCATAAGATCTACTTTAGTCATAAAAATATTGTAAGCCTCCTCACTCTCTTTGACTTAAATTCGCTTAAACATAAAAGTATATTTTTTTATTTGTCACTTCAAGAGTAATATTTAATTTAATTATTTTATAGATTTTCCTGGTCTTTTGCTTCAATTATGCCCTGAGCGCTGAACAAAAGAAGAGATCATATGTTGGCGGTGGATCGCACGGATTCAGTTCAGGAGGCGCTATTTCATCTATTGGAGGAGCTGGAATCGCATCGTCTGGAATTATCTCTTCGATTGGAAGCGGCATCGGAGCAGAGGGTGTTGGTGGAGGCTTTGTGTCTGGAGGTGCTGGAGGTATTGGCGGTATCGGAGGATTCGGGGGCATTGGCGCTGGTGGAGTTGGAGGTGGATCAATAATCGGTTCAGGATCGCTCAGTGGGGTCCCAACGCAACACACGGTATCGGAATACTACAATACTGTAGCCGTTCCCGTTCCTCAACCGGTACCAGTATCCGTACCTAGGCCTGTTCCGTACCCGGTACATGTTGGTGTGCCGGTCGACTCGCCCCGACCTGTGCCGGTGCCTGTACCGCAACCCGTACCTCATGTAGTAACGCGACCTGTAGCCGTCCCAGTTGATAGGCCTTACGCGTACCCGGTAGCCCAAGCGGTACCCGTTACGGTAACTCAAGGTGTTGGCATTCCGGTTCCGCAGCCCTATCCCGTATCAGTTCCCGCCCCAGTGCCTGTCAGCGTACCCCAACCGGTTTCTGTTCCAGTTACCGTTGTGGCTTCTGGATCTGGAGGAGGACTTGGACTTGGCGGTGGAGTCAGTGGATTCGGAGGTGGCTTCAGTGGAATTGGGGGTGGCGTCAGTGCAGTTGGGGGTGGGATCGGGGGATACGGCGGTACGATTGGTGGTTTTGTGCCATCTTCTGGCATTGGCTTAGGGGTAGGCGGTGGCATTGGACACGGTATCGGATCTGTAACTTTAGGGTCATCCTTGGGATCATCGTTGACTTCCGGCTCGTTGTCAGGTCACACGATCGCTACGTCTCATGGTCACCGCATTCACCATTCATATTAAATCTACAACTTTGTAACCTTCCTTGCCAAATTAAGTCTGAGTAGACTATATTGTTTTAAGATTGTAAATACTATGGGTATTTAAATGGTTTTATTAGTAGCTGTTGATATGACATCCAATAAAAGGAACTAGTTTAATATAATTATGTCTTTCATTGTTATTCATAACGACCTGAAATCTCCTCGGTTTGTGGGCTGTTTACTCCGTAGTAATTTCACTGTGAATTAAAATACATAATTTTGAACGAAGCTTTTTCAAAAATGCGAAATAAGCGAATATATATTATATATTTTTTTATTCAAATAATTTATTTCAATATTATTTCCAAATAATTAGAGTATCCTAAACATTTTCCTAAAATCATAAGCGATAGCGATTTTGCCGAAATTGTAAGGCGGTTGCCCAAGTTTAATGTAGTTGCGGATAAGTGATTCGCCACAATAATAAAACATTTTAAAAACTTTAATGCGAAACAAGATCTGAAACACCTCGTTCGGACCTGCTAAGAAAATACTACACTGCTTCTTCTCTTTGGTCCTGGAACTTCAATACGATTAAGTGTTAAAAAAAAAAAAAAAACTACAAGACACAAAAATATACGTCGCAGCCCTTAACGTACTTCCGCAGAAGAATGAAGAAAATCTTATAGAATTAAAGGACGACATAAGACAAGTGGCAGGCGTCACGTGGAACAGAGTGGCTCAAGAAAGACATGAGTGGAAAAGGTTGGAGGAAGCCTTTGTCAATTGGCAAACAGATCTGCAAAAAATAAGAAAAAATCAAATAATAGGCTAGATTAAGGTTTAAATAAAATTTAAGTTTTCTATATAATATTATATTTGGTCATAGAATTTTAATATGGATCTGAATAAAAGGCTATATTATAAGTGTTAAAACATTATACCTACCTTCTGTGAACTTGGTAAGGCGCTTATTCATTCAGTATGATAAACCAGTCAGAAGTTTAAGGAATATTAGTTTAAAAAATGGCGTGCATGGTGCCAATAGTTATAAATATTGTATTGACTGACATGAGAAGTATTATCATTTGGATAAAAATGCATGATATTAAAGAGCACCCTATGGTTTTTTATTCATTAATATATAGTTATATCCACGCAAATACAACAGTTTCTAATTTGCCAAGTGAAAAAAAGTAGGCGCTCAAAGGAATTTGTTGTTTTGATATTTATATGTATTTATTATCTATGGTTTTGGCTACCGAAAGTAAATAACGGGTCTATTTGTTTAAAATTTTGAAATCTTATCGGTCCTTGATAAGAACGTCAAATTTCGAGTTAATCCGACGTTTTAAGGGGATCAAAATCACGGTCTAAGATTCTGTTACATACATACGAACATACGTATAAAGCTAAATTTATAAATTATAATTTGCGTAATCACTAGTGGTAGGACATCTTGTGAGTTCGCACGGGTAGGTACCACTGCCCTGTCTATTTTTACCGTGAAAGAGTAATGTGTTTCGGTTTGAAGGGTGGGGCAGCCGTTGTAACAATACTGAGACCTTAGAACTCATATCTCAAGGTGAGTGGCGGCATTTACGTTGTAGAAGTCTATGGCTCCGATAACCACGTAACATCAGGTGGGCCGTGAGCTCATCCACCCATCTACGCAATAAAAAAATAAAATAAAAATAATAATAAAAGCGTACCTATTAATTAAAAAATCTCGACTACTTTGCTAATAGGCATATATTTGCTAATAGGTATATTTTTTAATATCGGGAGTACCTACAATTGGTATAATTCGATCACAGAACAAACGAAAGAAACGGAATATATTTTTAAGTGATTTTATGACCTGGTAACTAAGACCTTTAAGTCATGTCTTATTTTAATTTATATTCATATTTGTATGAAAAATGATATCATGGAGTGAAATGAAATGAAGATGATTAATTTGAGACATTAATCAACTGGGATGAAATTAAATGAAATGAAATGGGATGAAATATAATCTCAGAAAAATGGTGGTCATTTACTAAGATTTTTTCAGTGGACTTTTTGGAGGATCCCGAGAAGTTACGTCCAGCGGCTTTGTTTCATTTTCCCACATTTGTGCACTTTCACAGATATTAAGCAGTTAATAAACCACCATTATTACACATTTAAACTCGAAGAAACACTAAATAGACAAAATAAAATAAATCACACAACTTCTCTCCTCGCGTTCCCGCCAAAAAGTCCAAACGGAATATTATCAACCTAAAAAAATTCTATACCTCCGATCCGAAATCACATAACACGCGGTCACATATAAATGCAATAGCTAAGACAAGTGAGGGTAAAAATCAAATATTAGTTAGTTTTATTTGAAAATTTATTTGTTGTGTGCTCTGAACGACTATTTGCTCTGTGTAGAAACGTGGCAAACAATCATATTATAAATAATACAATCACAGATTCAGACATTGCGGTTGTGGTATAAATAAATGAGTGTATATTCAGACATTTAATTAAACAAAGCTATCCGTGAATGCAACTTCGATAAAACAAAGCATTTTCAACATAAACCTATTCTATTCTTTTTGTGTTTACATTTTGTTAAATTAATTAATTAATGCCTGCTCTTATCGTAGTGATATGAATATTTGAACGCGACTTCGGTGTAGCCAGTGATTATAAACAAACAAAAGAGTTTTCTGTGTGAATTCACAGAGCTACTAGCTGTAACGATGTGAATGTATCGCAAATTCCTAATCAGTATTATATCTCATTATCATTAGTTGAAGATTATGTTATTGTATTGAAGCGATAAACTGTTATCAAACGATAAAAATATTGTCAGTTAGTGTATGAGTTGGCTCGTTTGAGATTGGACGAAGTATTTCTTCATAAATTTGGTGCCGATTCGTTCATATACAATGTATACGAGTGAGTTATTTTTCTTTTTTAGAGTTGGTATTTGCTATTGGAATTTTTGATGAGTTATTTCAAATGTTTACAGTGATTATTATTTTTGTTAATAAAGTGTTGTGTTTTGTGTATCATGTGTAACATTGGGTCATCGTAATTGGTTTTTTGTGAGGTCCCGTGTGAACAGTGTTTTTTTTTTTTTTCTTTTTTTTTTATGCGCGTTCCCCTGACGAGACATTGTCAGGGACATTTTTTAGGATTATTTGCTTTTTCGCCAATTTTATTTTTGTTCACTATTTGGGCAGTGATGTTGGGCTATATTGGTCTTGATGGAAATTGTTTCGAGAAAGTTCATTCGCGCAACAGCTGTCTGAGTTGTAGGCCTTCGGGCAGCTGTTGGCAATACTTCCGATGGATCCTATAAGTTGGCCCACCTGCCCTGGTCCATAAAAGCATCCGAGACAACAGCAATAACTCCGGTAAAACAATTTGGACAAATATACGAATGGATGAGTTTAATCGAATTAAATATTTTTTACTGTATTTATTTTAGTGTAGATATGATCTCTTAGGTATCCGTTTTTGAAGTACAACAGCTTTTAAGTATTTTAAACCGAAACGCATTACTGCTTCACGATAGATATAGACAGGGTGGTGGTACCAGTAATTATGCATATTATAATTTTGCGGATTTGATTTTTGTAAGATTTAACCACGCAATATATTTTTATATAATATATGTGTGAGTTTCAGAGAATACTACTGCAATGATCAAAAGTAGTAGTAGGTTGAGTTATTCGAAACGTTCGGAATGGTATCTTATATGTTCTGGTAAATAAAGCTATAGAATAATTCATATAATATTATATTAGATTTTACGGTTTTAATTAATCAGAAATGGCTATGGGATAATTTACGATGTAACGATATAGTGAGTGGGAGTGACGGTATGGGTACTGTCAGATCTTTCTACAGTCAATCAATCTATCTATCTATCTTCTAGCTTTAAAACACTAGGTTTTTCAATCAGTATTAGCGGGTACGGCCCTAAAATTCCTTGGGCCCGCGGTCTGCTCCCAACATCTTGCAGATCGTCAAATCCCACTTATCGCGCGCGTCCCCTAGGCGCGGGGACCTCGTAGGAGGTTCGGCCTCCGGCCCGAAAAAAAAAAAAGGTTTTTCAATCAGTGCTTCTACAACAGAAGCGTTTTGCTCATAAAATACAATAAGGTGCTGTTGCACACTGCAACAGATTAGTCAGTTCTTTTTTTTCCCTACCTATCCTTGAGAAGCTATTTCAGCTTCTCCGTGACGTGTAGGTGAGCTCACGGGGCTCAAACCGGAGTGTTGCTAACACAGGCCCTAGCAAGAGCAGCTCAGCATAGGTAGAAAAAAAAATAATGAACGATCTACAAAATTCACCTTTGCCAATTTGCAATGGATATTGTGTTCGATTTAGGTTTATAGTTGTTTTTGCTATGAGAACAGTCCCATTGTACCCTAGTTGTACATGTGGAGTCAGTGATAGGTATTCTCAAAGATATCATTATATAGTATACGACACTTTAATATGTTTAGATAAGATTTTTGTTGAGTGATAATTTTATCGTATGAGTCACAACGGTAAAGCTGTCTAAAAATATGAAGGGCATAATATATTTTTATTTTTGTTTGTATTTTTTGTGAGTATTGGAATAATGGTCACAGAAGAACTCACGGCCCATTTGACGGTGAGTGGTCTCCGTCGTCAATAACCTTTATATTATGAAAACTTTATAAAAAGGTTAACGAATATTTTTTCATTATTTGTATAGTTAACTAGCGACCCGCCCTCGCTTCGCTTCGGAAACATTCAAACACATATGAAACAAAAAAAAAAAAAAAATTAAAAAAAAGTTGCCTATGTTCATCAGGGACAATGTCGGCTTCTAATGGAAAAATAATTTTTCAAATCGGTCCAGTAGTTTCGGAGCCTATTCGAAACAAACAAACAAACAAACAAATCTTTCCTCTTTATAATATTAGTATAGATAGTCTACCGAACGGAGCGAAATAACTAATTTACCACAATACTAGATATAGTTATTTTAAACGTTTATTACTCAATGGCAGTTTGCCTTCTGTGTAATGTGTATTAAAAACACACGCGTCAAAACAAGTGCGAGCCGAAATACCTAATAAACAATCCTGATGAACAATAATAGAATAAATACAAACTTTGCGAAAATTTACTAATATATTATTACTAGCTGACCCGGCAAACGTTGTTTTGCCATATATAAGATTTCTAGGGAATTTCTAGTGTAGAAAAAAAATTTAACTTATTGTAAGTGTGTAAGGATGTGGTAGATGAGTGAAAGAGGCATGTAGCGCTGTGAACGATGAAGGAATATAAAAATAACAATACCTCATTCAACCACATAATGTCTCATTATAACAAACAAAAAAATTGTCCCAAAAATAAAAAATAAATTTTAGGGGTGGACAACCCTTATCACTTAAGGGTATGAAAAATAGATAGTACCCGATTCTCAGGCTTACTGATTATGCATAAAAAATTTCATGAGAATCGGTCAAGCGGTTTCGGAGGAGTATGGGAACGAACATTGTGACACGAGAATTTTATATATTAGATATACTAGATGATGACCGAGCTTTTCTTAGTTTTTTTTATAACGCCATCTTGTTGTGTCTTTAAAGCGGTTACTTGCCCTCAACTAAGAAAAATAGTATTATTATTCGCCAATAGATGTCGGGAAGAGTCATAAAGTTGATTATCGATAAAGTTGATTATTGAAAACACGAATAAAACAACATTTTCTGAAAATAAATCGTAGCTAGATCGATTTATCGCCCCCGAAATACCCTATATACTAAATTTTATGAAAATCGTTGGAGCCGAGGTTCAGATTATATATAATATATATATATATATAAATCCCGTAACTCTATATATATATATACAAGAATTGCTCGTTTAAAGGTATAAGATTTTATTTATTTATTTATTGTATTGATGGGTGAACGAGCCCACGGCCCATCTGATGTTAAGTGGTTACCCGAGTCCATAGACATCTACAACGTAAATACCGCTACCCACCTGAGATATGAGTTCTAAGGTCTCAATATATGTATTTACAAAGGCTGCCCCACCCTTGAAGCCGAATCGCATTACTGCTTTATGGCAGAAATAGGCAGGGCGGTGGTATCTAACCGTGCGGACTCACAAGAGGTCTTACCACCAGTAATTACGCAAATTATAATTTTGTGGTTTAATTTTTATAACACGATGTTATTCCTTCACCGTGGAAGTCAATCGTGAACGTTTGTTGAATACGTATTTCATTAGAAAAATTGGTAGCTGCCGGCGGGATTCGAACACCGTTGCTTCGCAAGATACGAATGCACCGGACGCCTTATCCTTTAGGCCACCACGACCTCAGAATAGCTAATTACTTGAACGTATCAACGATTCAAAACGTCAAAACAGATTCTCAGCGACCTGGTTAAACAGTTTACGATAAAAACCGGGGGTCGAATAGATTATAAATTGGGTTTCTTCCTGTTACAAGCTTTTAGTCTCTCAAATTGTAATCAACAATATTACAACAACAATAATAATATATGTAACAAATTGTAATCATTTACACTCAGTGTCAGTCAGTGATGAAGTCGTGTTTGTTTTAATGTAATGACATTTATATAAAGTTCTTACAGTGACGAAAGCTTAGTGTATTGTCAATATTTGTATTAGTGTGCGAAGATTATCAACTCATGGTAACGAAGATGTAAACGAAGCATAGCGTGTGGCTGTTTTTTTAACCGACTTAATAAAGCAGAGGGTATTGATTCGTCTGTGTTTATTTTGGTGCATTGCTTGTGTTTTTTGTGCGTTTTTTCTAGCTCTCATTTCGACCTAACGCGGGTCCTAACTTAAAGACATTTTTTTTGCCTACCTATGCGAGTAGCCTCAAGAAGTTATCCTAGCTTCACCGGATGTAAAGGGAGAGGGAGAGCTCTTTTTCCCTCTTGGCGCCGTGCCGTCGCCACCGAGTCGGGGTTCGGAGGAGGACGTTTGTCCAGCTCCGGCCCCTATGAGGAGGCAGTCTCCTCCCGGTGATGGTCACGAGGCAACCTAAGGGGGTTGAGGCTGCGCCGCAAGCTACCGTCACTCTAGTGCGCTGGCACCAGGAGGACGGGACGACGCGTCGGCGGCTGCGGCCTGCGATGCGGTCCGCATTGTCGTCGTCGCTGTCGTCGCCGAACATACTGTGGAAGAGCAACCCGGTCGGCGGTGTATCGCGTTCCGACCCGGCAGGCTGGTTCTGGCCCAGCCGGGTATCCCGGAACACCAGCGGCATCTCCCGGGCGGCTTGGTAGGGCCACCGTGTCGCGGAGACCGGCGGCGTTGGTCGTCGACTATCGACGACCCGTCGGTCGGGCGTCCTTGGGGTGGCGCCGCGTGTCTGGTTGTAGTGTTGACTGCGGGAACCCCTCTACTTTAACCGGGTTCTGACCCCAGACGGAGAGGGGACGTCGGGTGTAAGAGTGCAGGGGAGTCGTTTAGTGCGGTAGGGCTCTAAAATTCCTTGGGCCCGCGGTGTGCCCCCAACATCTTGCAGATCGTCAAGTCCCGCATAACCCGCGCGCCAATTAGGGGACCTCGCAGGAGGTTCGGCCCCGGCCCGAAAAAAAAAAGTTTCACCGGACGTGAAGGCGAGCTCACGGAGCTCAGCCTGGCGACTTGCTAACATTAGCCGTAGTAAGTGCCGTCGCCCATAGACTTCAGCAAAGCCAAGGGCAGAGTTAAGCCGCTGCTTACCGTTAAGTACTCTCCACAAGCCTCGTTTGAAGAAGAACATGTATAGCATAGCACTCGGGAAACTCCAGTGGCGGGCGGTGCGATGGTAAAAACGAGATGATGGAATCATCACAAGAGGTCCTACCGTCTTTTTACTGGTGGTAGGACCTCTTGTGAGTCCGCACGGGTAGGTACCACCGCCCCCTCTATTTCTGCCGTGAAGCAGTAATGCGTTTCGGTTTGAAGGGTGGATCAGCCGTTGTAACTATACTGAGATCTTAGAACTTATATCTTAAGGTGGGTGGCGCGTTGTAGATGTCCATGGGCTCCAGTAACCACTTAACAGGTGGGCTGTGAGCACGTCCACCCATCTAAGCAATAAATAAATAAAAAATCAAACAATTCCTCAGAGCACTCGACTCAGAGCAATCTACCACGCTCTTAGCGATAAGACCGCCAATTGTACTTTTTTGTGTTTAATGTATCGCACTGTTTATTTGTTTTTTTGTGTACAATAAAGAATACTCTCTCTCTCTCTACCACCGGATCGGAATCCTGGCCCACTGAGAAGATCTGAAGAGAAAATTTGTGGGTTAATTTTCATGACAAACCTTTCGTTGCCCCTTTTTCCTGCCTAAGCTGACAGCCTTCAGAGGCTATGTCAGCGTAACCGGGCGTGCAGGTGAGCTCAGATGGCTCAAACCGGGAATGTCACTGACACTGGCCCTAGCAAGAGCAGTGCTTTGCAGAATCTACCACTGGATCGGAAACGCGACTCACTGAGAAGATCCAATGAGAAACTCAGTGGGCTGTGTTTATGGGTCATTAACTCGTCGAGCGCTTTGTCGCAAGCGACGGGTTCGGCGAGGACGGTGACCGGAGACAAACAAAATATTGTGACTCAATATTACACTATTTAGATACGTTAGTGTTGATAATATGGTTACGGTTTAATCTCCAGTTTATTAGCTTCAATTAACTAATAATTTACAGTTTTAGTGGTCATTCACAACTTAATATATTATAGTATACTATATATAGACGAGATCTTGTACTGTAATAATTCATTAGTGTTTATTTTAATTACGATTAAAACTGCATTTTATTCAAATATTGCATATGTAATTTTCAGGTCTACCTTTCTCGATGGAGCACATTCCTAAACAAAAGGGCTTCGGATGCCTATCTCTCAAGTTTGGCTGTATATTATCGGGCTTAACTTTAATTGTAAGTAGTTAGTATGGTATGCATTGTAAATTCTGTGTGTACTGTCTGTATACACATTCTGTGTGTATGTGTATGTAATAGACTATCGGATTGCGCAGGGGTTCACATTTCAAAAGCCAATATTTTTTTCCGAGGAAATACCTAACCCTTTTCTATTTATAACTAGTCAGGTCATAAGTATTATCACACAGTAAAAACTTTCTTTTACCTAGGCTGCACTAAAAGTATCGGGAATGGAATATTTCCACTGTTCCTGTCATATTAAAATCTTTTTAATTGAAAACTCCTTGGTTTTAAAAATCGAATACCATTTATTTATTTAAAAAAAGATTCTCGGTCTTGTCACGAGGTTTTGTCAAACTTGTTTAGTCGTTGAGAAAATGGAATTGACTCGAAAAAATTCAAGAGCGATGATTTATTATGACTTCCGAAGTGGTTTAACACAAAAACAGTGTGTTGACCGGACGATTTCTGCATTTGGTGATGAAGCCCCATCCAAAACCACAATTTATCGCTGGTTTGCTGAGTTTCAACGTGGACGTGTCAAGCTCAGTGATGATCCCCGTCAAGGTCGTCCAAAAACTGCAGTCACCCAAGAAAACGTTGATGCTGTGCGTAAGCTGATTGAGTTGGTTAAGCAGAACCACGGTGAAAAGGGCGTTAAATGAAGACTTAGGGCTTCGGGCATATCGAAGAAAAACAGGACATCGTTTGAATGCTCGTCTAATGGACCTGAGACTGAAGAGATGCCGCGCTTTGTTGAAGAGGCACGCGGGAAAAAAAAATCGGGAAATTCTTTTTTTGGATGAAAAATTTTTTACCGTAGAAGAGAGCTACAACAAACAAAATGATAAGGTGTACGCACACAGTAGTGAAGAAGCGAGCAACCGCATTCCGCGTGTCCAACGAGGTCATTTTCCATCCTCGCTCATGGTATGGTTGGGAGTTTCTTATTGGGGCTTAACAGAGGTACATTTTTGTGAGAAAGGTGTAAAAACGAATGCAGTTGTGTATCAAAATACAGTCCTGACGAACCTTGTGGAACCTGTTTCTCATACCATGTTCAATAACAGGCACTGGGTATGCCAACAAGATTCGGCGCCAGCTCATAGAGCGAAGAGGACACAAGACTGGCTGGCAGCGCGTGAAATCGACTTCATCCGGCACGAAGACTGGGCCTCCTCCAGTCCAGATTTGAATCCGTTAGATTACAAGATATGGCAACACTTGGAGGAAAAGGCGTGTTCAAAGCCTCATCCCAATTTGGAGTCACTCAAGACATCCTTGATTAAGGCAGCCGCCGATATTGACATGGACCTCGTTCGTGCTGCGATAGACAACTGGCCGCGCAGATTGAAGGCCTGTATTCAAAATCACGGAGGTCATTTTGAATAAACTTTAGTGCCTTAAGAATCTATGTTTTATTAAGTTCATTTTGGTATATGAATGGTTACATAGTGAATAAACTTGTTTCAATTATTTTACATTAAACATGTGACAGAATTTATGACCTGACTAGGTATAACGTCCTTAGAAAATATAGTGTACTGAATTGAAACTGTAACCTCATCCCGAGTTCTCCTATGGGTTCATGACCACTTAAGGCTAGGTGAAGCGTGAACTTATTCATCAATCCGTTAAAAATGGAAAAACCATTTCTATTTCAGTACATGAAGGTCTAATTAACTTTTGACAATATAGATTATTTTTTTAAATTGGAATCTTAAATTTAAAACCGTTCTCTACTTCACAGCTGTACTCCGTGCTGGTAATAGCACACTCCTCAGCCGCCATCGCAACAGCCTCACAGTCGCTCAAGTTCGACTGGGAAGGAGTTTTGACGTATGGCGTTTTGGCAACTGTCATTTTGACACATTGTGTCACGCTGTTCCTGACAGCCATCATGCTTGTCGGCACTTTGAGTGTAAGGAACTTTTAATGTAAACTAGTGGTCCCCCGGTAGTCGAAATTCGACTATAATTAATTGAAATTATAAGTTTGTACACTATTAAGATTCTATTGTCAATATACTATTTTCTATAATTCTTTATTCTATAATCACAGACTTTGCCAAGACTACTCCCCTTGGACAACTTGGACTATTCTCAATTATACCACAGACTATAAGCAATAAGAAAAGTTTGACATTAAACAAATAGTATGCAGGCGACACACACGTCAAATACAGGGTAGTGTGTGGAAGGGGTTTTTTATTGATTTGATGTATTTTTTATGTATAATTTAAAAATATATTAACATTCTGCACTCCTGCTATATATTCTCTATAAGTGTGAGAATTTTCATACTCCTCCGTCCACGCAATTTTCGTAAAAAGGGGTACAAAGCCATTGCTTCACGTATTAATATAAAGATAACTCGATTTTAAGGACTAGCAAAACCTTTATAAAAAAAAAGTTGTCTATAATTCTGTTATGGCTCCAGGTAAACTGTTGTCTTGATTCTGCCTCGAAACGTACCTTAAGTATTTCGATCTGCAGTCCCGAAGAAATTCAGTCTTAAGAAGTTTAGCTAGAACTAGGTTTAGCGAAGTTTCTAGAAGCTTCTAGAACAGAGCCAGACGCGCTAAACAATTAAGATCCACGACACGAGGCCCAAAATACCGTTCCACCCGTTATAGTCTTGTATTGGTTTCACTCTGGAAAATTCACCAGGGTGAATTGTATGTAGTTGGAACAGCGCCCCTATTAGGAAACGTAGGCAAACTCTATACAAAGTTGAGTTAATTTTTACGCTAGCGAGAACGTTAAAAAACTCATATTGAGCACACAGATGTAATATTTTTTTTGCCTGAATGTGTGGACGAGCGCACAGCCCACCTGGTATTAAGTGGTTACTGGAACCCATAGACATCTACAACGTAAATGCGCCACACACCTTGAGATATAAGTTCTAAGGTCTCAGTATAGTTACAACGGCTGTCCCACCCTTCAAACTGAAACGCATTACTGCTTCACGGCAGAAATAGGCGGGGCGGTGGTACCTACCCATGCGGACTCACAAGAGGCCCTACCACCAGTAAAAATGTCAATGTCAATGTCAGTGTCAATGACTTTCGGTCAGAAAACCATTGGAAACAAGTTTATAAATCAGCACTATTGTATTTTGTCAGGCACTTTGCGGACACAACAATATGTATTATGACAATAATCCAACCATAGCATACAATTTGTTAAGTTAAAAATCCAAACAAACTTTACATTAATATTACACAGTAAATTAAACACTATCTTTATTAGCACTATGCTTATTATATCATAGGAGAAAAAGAAATAATTGTATTAATTAGTAGTACCAGCTTAAACGAGAAATTACCAGGTTATAGAAATATCTATAGAAATCTTCGCCGTGATGAAGTAATATCTATACTTCTATACTATAATATTATAAAGAGGAAAGATTTGTTTGTTTGTTTGTTTCGAATAGGCTCCGAAACTACTGGACCGATTTGAAAAATTCTTTTTCCATTAGAAGCCGACATTGTCCCTGATGAACATAGGCTACATAGTTTTTTTTTTTTATTTTTTTTTTTTGGTTTCATGTGTGTTTTAATGTTTCCGAAGCGAGGGCGGGTCGCTAGTAATAAATAAACTCATAGATTGTTATTGCACTGGAGTTCATCTATACTTCTTTTTTAATATTATAAAGCTGAAGAGTTTGTTTGTTTGAACGCGCTAATCTCAGGAACTACTGGTCCAATTTGAAAAATTCTTTCAGTGTTAGATAGCCTTTTTATTGAGGAAGGCTATATATAGGCTATATAACATCACGCTAAGACCAATACAAACGGAGCACTAATAAAGAATATGGAAAAATCGGGTTTTTTTTTTTCCTTTTTGAGAGCTTTCGCTGCGTGCGCTGCGGCAAAATTTTGCTAAAATAATGTATGACAAAATTGTTCCCCAACAGCAATCTTTAAGTAAATAGCTGCTAATAAACTCAATATATAACTAGGGGCAGAACACTAATCACGTTTTTATGGTGCTTAGTCAGACCTCCTCCTCAGAAATCCTGAGAATCGTTTACAAAATTTGTACCGTAGATTATACACTTAATATATTTGAGAATTTGTGCTGTGCTAATTGTAAGACACCAATTTCGCTATTATTAAACTCATCGTTGGCAGCCTAAGAGGCTATTCCAATTACACTTGGTCGGGTAGGTAAGCTCTCAGGCTCAATATGAGAGAACTTGCGAACATTAACCCTAGCAAGAGCAGTACTTCGCTGAATCTAGCACCGGATTGGAATTGCAACCCAACGAGAAAATCCGGCAAGAAACTGGTTGTGTCTATGAGCTAAGTTGCACGTCGAACCATTCGTCGAGAACGGTGACCGATGCTTGGAGAGCTTAAAAGCATCGAGAGTGGATCAGGAGGATCCGATAGGACATGTTTAGTGCGACGGTGGCCTTACCTTGCCCCGTCACCGGTCAGATATATGGTTAGAGGCAACCACGTTATGAGCGTTTCACATTTCATTCATAGATTTAATAATAATTTTTTTAATTCATATTTTTTAAGGAAAAACCTCACTTGATGCGTCCTTGGCTGGTGTGGATGTCTGTGCAGATCATGATCTACGTTCTCATGTTCGTGTTTTGGACCACAACTAACATGGTCAGTCATATGGGCGACACTTCGATGCTCGGATACGCGTTGGAATTTCTAACTCTCTGTAAGTTGTTTTACGGCTCAATATCGTTGTTAAAGGCTTTTGATATTATTATTCATTTGGCTTAGTTCATGTCTCGTATGTATTTTCTATTACCAGAACTTAGTATATCATATCTAGTATTTTATCTAGTCTATCTATCATCTATTAGTATAATATCTGGTATTGGTATCGGGACCATATCGAACTGTTTGAACCTAATTCTGTTGTATCTGCGGGCTTCGATATACAGTTAGGTTAGCGATATACAGTTAGGTTAGATCAGATCCGTAAACAATTCTGCCTATTTAGAGCAATCAAGACTACGTGATATATCAGACTTAATATAAGTTTATTTCTTTATTTCATTTGTGTTTTTTTTCTTCTTTTTTTCAGTAATTCGTTTCTACATGTTGGTCCTTGTTGCAAGCTATTACGATTTGTTAGAAAAGGACAGAGAATACGGAGAGAGACTCAAAAGTTTGAACAATCAACACTGGTACAGCTCTGCTTGATCTAGAAATTTAAGTTTAAGGATAACGGAATACTCTTTTTTTGTTGTTGTTTGTTTTTATAATTATTTTTTATTTGTAACTGTTTATTTGAAATTGAAGACTGCTATTATGAACTTCTTGAGAGAATTTATCGCGTCAAGAGTTAGCTAGCAAGGAGCCAGTCAAACTGTATAATAAACTGTATAGTGTATTAAACTTTGCTTAGTTGCATGTTGTAGGATCAATGGATATGTTCCTGAATGATTAAATTGCAGATTTTAAGATTATGCTGTTATACTCATGACTCATGGTAGAAGATGTCATTTACCTTGTTGATGTCTATGGGCTCTGGTTACCGCTTAACACCAGGTGGGTCATGAGCTCGTTCATCTATCCATTCAAAAAATTAAAATTAAAAATACGGATTAATTTGTAGTTTTGTAGCCTTTTCTTTCGATATCGACCACTTGACTATAATTCACGGATCAATCAGCTTAAAATGAAAGGAGACGGAAAATCGTGGGCCAAAAATGTAATAACTTGGAATGTAATCTAAAAAATTTGTCATATTTTTTTATATAAGAATATAAAAAATCACCTCAATCCTCTTTCTGGGACCCGAGAAAAATGAGAAAATTAGTTTTTGTCGGTATAACGGTGTGATCGATTTAATTAATCGATTACAGGATTATAAAAAGAAAAATATTGCACTGGGTAATTAATGCAAAGTAATTAAATGAGCGATTTATACTTGTTGTATACAAGTGCGGTATACGCCGGATTTAATTGCGATTATATATGACGGAGGAGAAACGCTGAAGGAATGTTTTTAAAAAGTGTGACGTCAGCATTGTTGACGTCACGGTCTTTAAGTTCTCGATGATGACTCATATTTGGGCTTCCAAAACAAAACTTCACGAGAACTGCGTATATTGCACGAGAAGCATAACAACGTTACAGAGAGATCCGTACTGTACTACGGCTCGGACACNATGCTTAAATAAGTTATTATTCAGCTCTTTTAAAGAGATTGTAACATAACCTAACTTTTACTAAATCTTTATTAACTCGGCTCTCAGATTGAGAAAACTTTTATAATTTTCAGCAAGGTACTGATAAATCTGAATCTATTAATTCATATTAGTTTCATCACGTTACATTCGGGCCCAAAAATGTATGTAATCGTTTCAGTCTCCTTTTATCTTGAAAGTGGTCACTCAGATATCTAAAAAGACAAATTTCAATGAATTATTATACAATTTCAAGTGTTCGGTTCGTAAAGTTTATAACCCTGAATCCATCTGTAGTTTATGTCGAGATGTTTTTTTTTTATTGCCCTTGTAGGCAGACGGTCATACGGCCCACCTGATGGTGAGTGGTTACCGTCGCCCATGGACTTCAGCAATGCCAGGGGCAGAGCCAAGCCGCTGCCTACCAATATGTCAACAAAAAAATGAAATTAATACGTAATTAAGTTAATGGTTTCTCGATTGCAAAATGTGTATTTAAAACTGAAGAATAATTTGTCATTAAAATCCAAGAAAAAATTCATAAGACGTACACAATTTTAATGAGTTTTATTTGGTATATCGCTTAAGTTTTCATTAAAAATACACTACTCATCACGGAATGTACTTATTTTTATAGACTTATAATATAAAATACATTGAGCATAAGACACTATATGCTAACGTAAACATTCAGAAGATTAAACATGAAGAAATTTAAAACACGACACGACGACACGACACGACGACACGACACGACGACACGACACGACGACACGACACGACGACACGACACGATTAATATTCTTAATTTGTCGTGTCATTTTTATTATCGATTAATTGGTTTTTCGTGTCATGAAAACCTTATAACTTAAATATTATAGCAAAACCGAACAATTCTTCTTTAGTAAATATAGATACGACGGTGGAATAAAAAATAAAAAATAAACGGCTTACGGCGACATCGCCATGCATTTTATTATCATAAAACTTATATTTTAATTTCGCATTTATTAAAAAATTCTAATGCTTCGTTGTCTTTGTGGAAGAACTGAGTGTACGTGATTATTAACCAGTGAAAGAATTATGTAGTGTTATCTACATATTGTTTTTTGATCTATGTTTTAATTTTAAGGTAAACTTGTCTAGCCTCTGACCTTTAGGAATATGGTCAAGGATTCCTGATGGGAATAAGTGGAGAGGCTAAGCTCAGAGTAACATTATGGTTGGAGGGTGGTGAAATAGTAGTTTGTAACTTCTAACATAGCCGCAGAGAGTATCATTACACTAAGGGTACAATTTTCAATGATATTCCTAAAGGTTATAAATAAGTATCTCTAAATTTTATTTTACCGTCATCTTGTCTAGCCTCTAACCTTTAGGAATATGGTCAAGGATTCAGGATGGGAATCGGTGGAGAGACTAAGCTCAGGGTACGGAATATGGATGGAAGGTGATGAAATAATAGTTTGTAACATCTAACATAGCCGCAGAGAGTATCATTATACTAAGATTACAATTATCAATTATATTCCAAAACTTTAATTCTTAATTAATTACTTAATTCTCTAAACCTTATTTTATCTTTCGTAAAAACTTTTACAAAACTAACAATTTTAGTACATAGAGTTCGGTAAAAAAATAATTTGTTGGTTCAAGATAAATTTACATTAAGGCACCATTAATTAGTTCAGGAATCGACGAGAGCTTAAGGACAAATATTCGCCGTGAAGGCGGAGAGCTGGCGGTATCGCAGTCGAAGTCCTGGTCGTTATCAGGACCGAGGACAATGACAGTGACAAGACGTGTCAAGGTTCATGTATATTTTAACGTCTCACCTCTATACTTTGCCAGCTTTACTACATATAAATACACTATAATTTTCTCACACGGTTAGCCCATTGAGTTTCTCGCCGGATCTTCTCAGTGGGTCGCGTTTTCGATCCGGTGGTAGATTCTGCGAAGTACTGCTCTTGTTAGGGCCAGTGTTAGCAACACTCCCGGTTTGAGCCCCGTGAGCTCACCTACACGTCAAGGAGAAGCTGAAATAGCCTCTCAAGGTTATCAGCATAGGTAGGAAAAAAACTCACACGCTCTTTGATTTTAAAGTTAGATAAATTCTACCATCTATATATAGTTTATTCATACAAAATTATACGATACGTTTTGGCGATCTCCTGCTTTGAAAAGTTTTAGAAAAAGAGTGTAAAGACACGTGTTTTAATGGAATTATTTTTAACAATACATTACAAATGTATCGCCAAATTCCCTATTGAAAATATACCTAACAAATAAGTCAAAGGATTTGAGATTTATCTCTCGTGTTTTTTTTTTAAATTAAAGTAAAATAGACGCATTAGCCTTATACTGAAAAAAATAATAATCTTAAAATGAATAAAAAAATAAAATGTCTATCCAAGTCATCATGCTGTGCCGCTTTCTCTTGTATATTTCACCGAACCGTCTCTTTCCATCTTCACTATTGAGCTCCATATCAATATGACCAGGTAGATTTGCAGTGCTAAAATAAAATAATAAATCCACACGTATATACGCAAGTAGATCAGTCTATCTCTAACGAATAAATAATTAAAGAATATAGGAGGACCTTTCAGTCCAGTTTTCGCGGGGTAGTAAATAGTTTACGTAATGTCAATTTACTTAATGTACGTAACGTAAAATTGCTGCTAAATACTCTACGCAATATTGTCAATGTCAATATATATGGCAATATATATGTGTGATAAAACGTATAATCCTTCGTCGAATGTACTGGCGGTAGGACCTCTTGTGAGTCCGCACGGGTAGGTACAACCACCCCGCCTATTTCTGCCGAGAAGCAGTAATGCGTTTCGGTTTGAAGGGCGGGACAGCCGTTGTAACTATACTGAGACCTTAGAACTTATATCTCAAGGTGGGTAGCGCATTTACGTTGTAGATGTCTATGGGCTCCAGTAATTACTTAACAGCTGGTGGGCTGTCAGCTCGACCACTCATCGTAGTCACATGAAATAGGGAAATCATGATTCAATATACCTAAAATACTTACTCAGTTGGAATAAAATTAAGAATAATTCGCTTGCTGTCTCCTTGTTGATGAAAGCGAGGCTGTACGCGAACCCGATTGTGGAGTAAATTATTTCGAAGTATAGGTAGAGTTTCATAAGGAGAACATGTTTCTGGAATATGCAGAAAAAAATATTATAGTATAAATAAATAATATGTATATATTTATGTATGTATTTATGTACGTATGTATATATATGTAATTGTGTATATATATTTGTAATCTAATATAAATTTCATTGCGCCTACCACTATTTACTCAGCATTATCTTTGGTTGACTGGTACAGAATGCCTTAGTAAATTTTGCAGAAAGTGTAATAAATAAAAACAACATAGGAATGTATATAACAAGGTATTTAGTGACCGAGGGTTCGAGGTCTGATCGCAATCAGAGCTTCCCTCTGGTATATTTATGCTTTTATCATATTTATTCCCAAACCCGTAATACATATGAAAATTTTAGCTAGCCCTGATTGCTCTTAATAAAAAAAAGGTGTTGCCATACCGTGCCATGTCCAGTGCTATAATATGTATTACCAGAGAAAGCGGAATTGTCGTAACTTGAAAAACCTAATTTTAGTTAGTTTAGTTATTAAAAATAATTTTAATAAAAGAAGATTTTGACAAGCATGGATTAGACTAGTTGCTATAATATAAATACTGTAAAATAAATTAGTTTTTGTAAGTTAAATAAATAAATAAACAAAATTTTATAACATTTAAACAGACCTTATGCAGTGCGACAACGAAGACCGTGGTCATGGTGACCTCGATTAACAAAGCCACGGTGTCCACTATCAACCGTATCAATTCCGATGCCATTTCCTGTTGCTGTTGCTGCGAGGAGTTTCTGATTACGGAGATGTACAGTGACAAGAATGAAGTCACTACTAAAGTCAGGATCTGGAAAACAAATAGCTCACCTTAAACTGGACAGTGAGCTGATAAAGTTACGCCAGCTTGGTAACTTAGGTCTCTCTAAACAAAGGTAATTAGTTCTGATATTGAGGACTTCGTAATATTGACATCATAATATATGGCATCAAGAAATCTAGGCAATAAGATACAGTTAATCATTGTAATAACAAAAACTAAAATTCGTAATATAAAATAAAAAAACTCGATTCAGATTTCAAAGAGACATTGTGGAATGATTACGAATGCATTATTATCGGATTCTCGTAAACGATATCGCCGATACAGAGAAACGTCCGGCGACGGTGTCGCAAGTCTGCTGCCTCAACGAATATTTTGTAACGTTAGCATCTGTAATGGTGGACTACTATTGCAACATGTAATTGAAAGAATAAAAAGAAACTTCAATCAAAACTGCGATAGTTTTAGCAGTAACGTAACGCTCCTAGAAGACTTAGGTATAGTCTTTTTCTTTGGTTTACGGCGAGTCAAAGAATAAATTTGACTTGTTTTTTCGTTTATTGTAAATATTTGTACTTATTTAAAAAAACTTAGAAAATATTTGAGAAAAACAAAAAAAAAGCCCGTTGAGTTTGTTTCACCGGTTATTCTCAGGACTGTGGCTTTTTTTGGAACCGGTGGTAGAGTTAACATTTTTATTTATATTTTGACATTCAACAAGTGTGTTTTTGATGACATCTAAGTTGAAATAAATGATTTTGAATTTGAATTTAATTTTGAACATTTCACAGTGCGACGTAGGACAACTGATAGATGCGTTCAACCAAGAAAATCGTAAAATATTCGAAAAGGTCCAAATAAATATAATAACAATGAATAGTAATTAAGCTGTAAATCTTTATATATATATATATATATATATATATTTCTTCTGTGCGTGTGTTTGTCACTGAACTCCTCCAAAACGGCTGGACCGATTTGAATAATTTTTTTTGTATACGTTTGGGTGGCACCATGGATGGTTTAGATTCACAAATCAGCTCGACAGATGGCGCTGCAGTCGGTATCTAGGTTATTTATCTTTATGACATATTCTTCTTCAAACGAGGCTTGTGGAGAGTATTAAGCGGTAGGCAGCGGCTTGGCTCTGCCCATAGCATTGCTAAAGTCCATGGGCGACGGTAACCACTCACCATCAGGTGGGCCGTATGCTCGTCTGCCTATAAGGGCAATAAAAAAAATACTACACTAAACGGCTGGATCTACTTGAATGAATTATGGCAGGAAAACGTCTGCCGGGTCCGCTAGTTTAATATTAATTAAGCAATTTTGTTGTAAATAGTGTGTACTTCAAAGCTTACTAAGCTAATTAATTAATACAATTACATACCAAATTCGTATATGCAAAAGCGATGAGACCTCTCCGTAGCGGGAAACAAAAACAACATCTTGTTAGAATCGGTATCTCCACTGATTCCTTGATTTTCTCTCTGAAACGAATTAAAGACTCATTTAGGTTTCAAGAAAACACTTTTTATTGAATCAGTGTGCGGCAGTAGCAGCGAGGAAGGCGTATATATGATCTGTGTGCTAAGTGCGAGTTTTATAACGTTCTCGATAGCGTAAAAGTTAACTCAAATTTGTATGCAGTTGGAACAGCGCCCCTAGCGGCAAATGAAGGCAAACGATCCAACTCCATACAGATTTGAGTTAACTTTTACGCTATCGAGAACGTTAAAAAATACGCACTATGCACACTGAGGTCGCACATACTCGGTACAAGCCATTGCAATCTAGATCACTCTAAGAAACCGGGGAAAGGCTGTCTCTCGGCGCGAACGTCTATCCGCTAGTGTATTTATGATTTCTAATAGGAATTAAACCGATAACTTATATCTCTTAATGATAATACCAATAAAAATAAATAATAAGAATACAAAAAATAAGAAAAAAGAAAACCAAATTTTATTATTGCCCGTGCATACGGCCCACCCGATGGTGAGTGGTTACCGTCGCCCATGGACTTCAACAATGCCAGGGGCAGAGCCAAGCAGCTGGCTACCAAACATTTTAAATCAGTTGCAACACATTAAATCAGAATATCATCAATGTAGTCTTAGTCAATCAAGTATGCATTATTAAGGATAATTCAAAAACGACTTGATAAAATAAGAGGACATGAGAGGCACCACCTTTCAATTAACAAAAGAATCACTAAAATCGATCTTTCTAGAAAAACGTTCACAAGTAATATATAACACACATAAAATAAATACGGACGAATTGAGAATTTTGTCCTTGTTTTGAAATCGCCTAAAAAGATTCAATGCATTTAATGAAAGCAGAAAAAACAAATAATTATTTCTTTTAAAAGTCAAACTTTTATAGGACCTCACCATTTATCCTCAACTTTCGTATATACCTTTCTCACTATCGTACGCCTTATCTGTTTGGTCAATAATGTTTCCTTCTATTATAATAATTTTTGAACAGTTCTACTCTATGTATCGATATAATAATATCCTAATGTACCCACATACACAAAAACTAATCGTTCATTACAAAGTTCATCAAGTTATCGGAGCATCCGCTAAACTATTTCGTACGAAACAATAAATTTCTTAATAATTAAAAACTATATTTACATCACCTTATCTTTTTTTTATTTATTTTTTATTGCTTAGATGTGTGGACGAGCTCACAGCCCATCTGGTGTTAAGTGGTTACTGGAGCCCATAGACACCTACAACGTAAATGCGCTACACACCTTGAGATATAGTTCTAAGGTCTCAGTATAGTCACAACGGCTGCCCCACCCTTCAAACCGAAACGCATTACTGCTTCACGGCAGAAATAGGCGGGGCGGTGGTACCTACCCGTGCGGACTCACAAGAGGTCCTACCACCAGTAAAATTTTTATTATTTTTATTTTTAATTTAGTTATTTAGCAAATAATTATTATTTGTTGATTATTTAGATGAGTAACACTTTAGTCTTCGGTGACTACGAAAACTGTGGAGTATTCAAAATATCGGTAATAATGAAATTACAATAAAAACGGCGCGATTGAACCGTAAAAATAGTTTTAATTATATCTGCGAATCGAAAAAAAACCTAATTTTTTCTAAGGTCCATTTAGATTATTTTTCTAATGTGACTGTTTCAAGGAACTCTGAAGCACTCGACCTAAATTTTCAACTCATTTTAATGGCATGGTGATATAATATCGTTTTCGGAGACCATATACATTATTAGTATATCGGCAGGAGCCTGAACAGTTATGCATCGTTTCCTCTTCTCGTCCACGAAAAAACAGATGGGGTTGGCCGATTGGTGAGCTGGCGAAAAAACCGGTGGAGTGAAACGATAGAGGGATCCTCACAGGCCTCCTCTATTCCCTCCTTCCAGGTATAGCCCTTGAAGGAGCTAATTTTCGTCACCAGCTCTGCTTCTAGCTCATTGAACTCATGTTTAATTCTGGGACAACTAGTTGTCACCCAGAGCCTCCTCAATCCCCTCTTCCGGCGAATCATCGCCTTCAGATGGGAAGGGAGTCGACCTTTGGTCCCGCCGCTGTATACAAGAGCCGTCTTTTATTATGATCTACATGTCATTTCCGATCCTCCCGATCCACTAACGGTGCTTTTAGGTACCTCAAGCACCGGTCATCGTTCTCGTCAAACCCGTCGTTTGCGACAAAGGGCTCGGCGAGTAAATTAACTCACAGACACAGCCCACTGAGTTTCTCGCAGGATCTTCTCAGTGGGTCGTGGTTTCGACCCGGTGGTAGATTTTGCGAAGCTTTGCTCTTGCTAGGGTTAGTTAGCAACGTCGTCAGGCTTGAGCCCCGTGAGCTCACCTACTTACTAAGGTTACGCCGAAATAGTCTCTCAAGACCATCAACTTAGGCAGGAAAAAATAAAATGGTCTATGGAAATTTAATGCGTGCAGTGGTTCTGTCTCGCTCTAAAACTCGTAAGAAGTGCACGAGCATTACATTAAGGTGTATATTTTAGATTAGCGGAATTTCTACACATGTATATAGAGTGTATGTCTTCGGACAAGAACGTCTGATTTACGCCCAAGATTAAATAAATACTAGAGGTCCCGTAGTAGTCGAAATTCGACTATAATTAATTGGAATTGTAAGTTTGTACACTATTATGATTGTATTTTATACTTCTATAATCACAAAATTCGCCAAGACTATACTATAAAAAATATTAACAAAGACAAATAATATTTAATCTATTCTCAATTTGACAACAGACGTCAAGAACAAAAGTTTGACAATAAATAGTATGCATGCGTGTGTGCGTCAAATACATGGTATATCGTGTGTGTAATGTTTTCTTTATTGATTCAATGTGTCTTTTATGCATTATTTAAAAAAAATATTAGCATTGTGCACTTCTTCTCTATATTTTCTATAAGTGTGGAAAATTTCATACTTCTCCGTCCGCGCAATTTTCGTAAAAAGGGATATAAAGTTTTTGCTTCACGTATTAATATATAGATAGATATCTTGTACTTAATTGAGCACACGACCAGCTTGCAAGCGTTGCGGTTGAAACGCTATTACGTAATAATCCCACAAACCGTGACGTAACACGTTGGATATTATGACATTTGTCATAATTGTCAAATAGCGGCGCGTTTGGTCATTTTTAACTAGTGTTTGTATCATAAAGTTTTCTTGTATTTTCTTTGATATTATCGTTTTATTATTATAGCTCAAACTCACAATTATTCGAAGATGTCAACAATATAATAATTAAAACTTAATTATTTAATGAATATTTTATAGGCCCGATGGTATATACTCATATATTAGGTAGTACTGTTGGTAGGGTGTGTCATGAGTCCGTTCAAAGTAGTAATATTTTTCAGTTTGAAAGATGGAGCTGGAATCTAGTATATAAATGGGACTTAGAATCCCTGTGAAAAAAAAAAATGATAGAAAAAAAAAGACGTGTGGCACTCGAGACTGCCGCGGTAAAGCTATTGCATAGCATTTTTTATCAACTTATACAATTATAAATCGACAATAATAATTTAACAACAATAAAATAAGATCCGGCGAGAAACTCAGTGGGCTAACTTTCAATGAATCTGCTACATTGTGAGTATTCCATTTTGACCGCGCACTCACTAGAGGGCGCTACATGGGATAGAGACACGCCTTTGGATGCTAGTTCTAACTCTCATTCGCTCAGAATCAACGGTTTAGCTAGTTTATTTTTAATGTCACTCCAATCACTGAATGAGCAGTAGGAGTAGTAATAAAATTCTTCGACTAAGCGATAGAAAATGGCACGCCCAACGCATTGTAATGTGATATAATTTTCTATTTTACAATTCCGTTTGTCGCCGATAGATGGCACTTGACCCAAAAGCTGAATCGCGCTATCGTTGTGTTACCCACGAAATTATATCACATATTTTGATACTACATAAATCGGTGTTTAGACTTCTTACTTTAAACACTACACAAGCGCAACGTATGAATGTGTTAAACGCGAGCTACATAGTAGGCGTAGTGAGGGGTGGAACTGGTGGAAGGTTTTTTTCGTTACGGAATTTCATGATTCCGCTCTCAAGCCGCACCCAAGGCCCGCGATAAAATCTATGCAATAGCTTAAAAAATGGAAGAGAGTAGCAGCCGCCCCTGACGAAGAACCAAGACTGAAGAAAGAAGAGAAGAGAAGAGGGATGAAGAGAAGAAAAAGAAGAAGGAGAGAGAGCCCCACGCATCACCACCTCAAGCCTACCTTACAACATCCTGCAGCGCATCACCCCTGCCTCATTAGGCAGGGAGATTCAGCCCGGGCAGAGGGATTTTCCCGAGGCCCACTCCGTGCCCCCGCAAGGGGGTACAACGACCCCTTCTTTCATGTCACAGGGCCGGTGTTAGCAGTTACGTTATTGATGTCTATGAGTTTAAATATTAAAATTATAGGTAGGTACTCAAAGCAATAGTAAACTCGCTTGTAATGCTAAGCACTGAAAACATAAGTATAGGTTGTTACTGAAACTGCAAACGCGCTCTGGTCAACCTTGAAATGCAACCATCAATCTTGTAATTGCAGCCCGGCACATCCGAAGGCCGCGCTTCGAATGATAGTACAATAAACGCGAATTGTATTTATCAGTACAATACTCAATACTAGTTATTGTGAACTCATTATTAATGAATAGGCTTTTTTAGTTTTCTTTTAGTAGGGGCTAGTAATTTAAATCGTTATCGTGGCGGGTTGTAGAAGAAAATCATTGGTCAAGCTTGGGCTAGGGTATCCGGTGGTTTGACCACAGTCCCAGACAGGCGATAGCATGTGCATTAGGCCCGGATCTTTTGATAATACGTTAATCCGAGATTTCGTTCTATACACGATAGGGGCTGTACAAAAAATAGGTATAGAATAACGGAACTAATTAAAAAAATTTTTACGAAAAAAAAATTTTTTGACTTTATTCCGACCGTGACCACGAA